GCAATCTCCGACATACCCGACCGGCCAAGAATCGAAGCCGTTGCTGTGTTCAGACTACGTACCGGACACGATTGCTTGGCAAAACACCTTCACAGATTGGGATTATACACTCAACCCACATGCCTTCTATGTAACCTACAGGAGGAAATGGATAAGACCCACCTGATTCGGTGTCCAGCTCTAAAGACAAGGACGGAAAGCCAAAGATACTGGGAAGCAAGAAGACAGCTAATGAACTGCTATTAATAACTGCTATAAATGTACCCCCCCCCCCTCTTGGGGGAAGCTGAAGTCAAAGATTAAGGGCTAATGATAAATATCATAAAGCCTGCCATTTGAAATAAATAAATATTTATGTTCATATAAGCCGGATAAATTTCTTTCATGTTTAGTTATTCAATTTTCTTCCCTTTAATTGAGTATTAAAAATCAAACCACTTGAACGGTCACTAATGTCCTAGAATTATTCCCTTTATTTGATAAAATCTCTTCCATGTGTTTTTAATAAACCCTGAAGTGCGTATGCCCATCTCTAAGCCTATACAGACATAGAAATGAAAACTTTTCTACCACCACTGTTCCATCGCAGCCTCACTTTGGCCTTCCTTCCAATTTCTTCCAAAAATCCTTACTACGACGCTGATTCAATAAATATTTTACCCTTATCTAAATCCCGAAGTGAGGGTTGATATTACATGTAAAATGGAGGCAGATGGAATGATTATGACTGGAGGTCGTTTTGAAAAATACACCGAAAGTACAATAGTTAATGGTCGTTAAGGTAAATGTGAACAAGAATTCAAGTAAGATGAAGCAGTATATCAAAGCTCAGAGAAATCAAATGGACATATTAAAGAAGGTTACTCTCACGTGACAAACAAAGGGCGTCCTTTCAGATTTAGAATCAATGCCAATACATAATGTGATTTTATGGTATTTTAATTCAGTCTGTTTCATAAAATGTTCACAATCTGTAGATTTAAAAACATTGGACATTTTTTATTTTAAAAGGTTTTCAATTAATAGGATCGTCGTTACATAATTGAAAGTTCATTAATTTAACTTAGGAGATAAAGTAAAAAGCAAAAAAACAGAAAACGAAACAATCGAATAACAATTTGCCATCATCCGATTTGGTCTTTCTTAATGTTTTGAAATACTTGAAGTGGTGTTGAAATAAAAAAAGTCGCTTTATTCATCAACTGTTGCAATTTCGATTTAACTGTCCTTCCACGCATTTATCTATACATAGGAATGAAAACTCATCAATGTAACAGAATGGCTAGGATGTTCTCGTTTTGAGTTAAACTTAATAATATTGCAGCTCTACTTCGTACATAAACAAGAAGAACCTCCATGAAGATGACTAAGGAAAAATTTCGCCATGTAATTTCTAGCGAGAAGAATACATCATAACCTTTAAAATTCAAGTCCCACTATTTGTTACTTTGAGGCTTCTCAATATTTTGAATGATGATCCAGATCTATTATTGACAAAGACTTCTCAAATACCATATTTTCACTAGACCAAGGAGAGATAGAGCTTACATATAAATGAACATTTTGAAGTTCAGAATGATTTTAGACTTTAAATTTCAAATTACCCAGCTCTCCTCAATAATATATTATAATCTTCGATTATTTGTCAATAATGGATAAATCAGAGTAATCAGATGCAAAATTCATAAAAATTTTAAGAATTAATTACATCTCTTTTTGTTATGACACGAGCCTTAAACAAAATATTTAAGCATAGTAAAGCTAATTGAAATAGGCAAAATCTGTTGTTAATTCAATCATTTCTGATTAGTGTTGTATTAATTCCTTAGTAATGAACACATTTAAACCCAGAATTCCATGTTATGAATCCGCAGTTAAAAATTCAAATTAGGTACGACCCTTTGCTTTGATGAAATTAATGCTGAAATAGATATATATAAGATTGAATGTAGGTTTTGGAGATTACTGCGGCGATTAAGAAATGTGCATCGAAATGTGTCCTCAGTCCCAAAAATAATTTTTTAAATTTAAAGTGATTTTCACTTTATTTTGTACATTATCACTGAATATGTAAAATATAAATAATTAGGGAAACTATATTATAACATATTAACAGTGTTTAAATTAAAAAATAAATTAAATAAAGCGGATACTTACTTTCAAAAAGCTCCACTTTCTGGTGAATCCATATTTTCTCCACTCCATCAAGGCATTCGAGCCCCAATCTTGAATTTCGACGAGTTTTGAAGCCGTCATCATAATAATTCTCCGATGTTGACAAATTTGAAGCCCTATTCTGGTTAATAGGTTGTTGCATGGAACCATTTTTTTCCATTACGAGATAGCAATTAGGAGGAACGGTGACTTGTTTTGGTGGTGCTGAATTTGAAGAAACGAGAAGAGCGACAGGTTGTGTATTCGTTATGAGAGGACTATTATCTGTTGCAGATGGTTCATGAGTAAGGGGCATCTGTTGGACAGCAATCCCCTGATTAGATGATTTCTATTTAAAAGTAAAAAATTATTTGCGATAACAGCCATTATTGTTATGTTCACTTGGTAGTTCAATACTATTCATAAATCTAAAAACCAGTGTCGCTGGGCAAATTATTCAGATATATTCATGTAAAATAAAAGACCTGTTTAAAAATACCAAATCAGAAATGAAATGGCAACGTCAGTAATTAACTATCAAGATGCAGGCTTGTATTTTAAGTAATATGTGTATAAAATAAAAATAATATTTATTTTATATAAAATTAAAATAAATTGTAAAATGTACCCGCAACGTACCACGTCGTTTGGATACATAGGTATTGCCCAACCAAGCGGCTTAATGACGGTTTGATTTTGATCATTTTTACTATCTTTCGCAAGATCTGCTTCAGTTGTGTTTTTTGAAGCCATTCGAAGAATATCAAAATACCACAATTATTTAATGGCGTAAAACAAAATGATTAACCTTCAATATTTTTTCATAAATCGAACATTAAAAATTATTTATTTTTATAAAAACCTATAATATCTAAATTAATCAGTGCTATCATTTAAATCATTTGCTATATTAAATTGTCAAATATTTTGAACTGAATTTATTTCCTCATTCGAATTTAATTTAAACATTTGTTTTGTCATGCTATATATTTTTCATTTCTAATCCCTTTAATTCTTCTATTGAACTTATTCAAACTTCTATATCGATGAGTAAATGACAGTTGATCTCGCCATATGACGGCTCTAGAGACTCAATATTGAGTTATTTTTTAATAAGCCTTAATTGATATCCATCTATTGGGCATTTATCTGCGACCAACTTACATGCTATGTGTTAGAATTGTCATTATGCAAATCGAATTCCATTAGAAAATGACCTGGGAATAAACTGTAATAAATCACTTATTTTGTACTAATTTAGTTAAATATATGCTAGGACTCCCATTATATCATATCTAATTGGGAGCATGCGTTTAACCGAGATTCCTTATTATAATTGACCACGGGTTACTAGATAAGTGGAGGAATTGCATTTATGTGAATGAAACAATTTGAAAGTTCGACTACAAAAACGATACTAGCAATTAGGGGAGAGAGTGCCGATTAAAGAGATTACTAGAAAGCACAGAAGCAATTGCTCACGAAAGCAGTGTCCGTACTGTTAATTTACGTTTCATCAGTCAAATACGAGTACAACTGAAAATAATTTTGTACATATAAACAAATTTTGTTATTTTAAATCGTGGTAATTTCCTGAAATCAATTAATTGAAGATTGAATTTTACCTTATTGAAGATAGTAAATTTAGGCATTAAGTCGGGTTTGATTTTAATGCTTGCTTCTGTCCTGAGTAACGGGAGTAGATAGTTTTGTTTGGTTCTTCATAGATTCACTTTGGAGCAGTGCAAGAGCACATCTGGGCGCTTAAGCATTCCCGACCTTATGAACAAGCCAAGTCAGCACATTACTGCCTACCCAGAAAGTGAATAACTGTATGTCAGAGAATCCATCATTCGTGTTAGAGTACCTTCTCCCTTTCAAAGTATGAGGATTTGATATGCAACCCGAAATTAAAAACTCATGTCAAAACAGGCGTATGCAATTGTATCTTAAATTTACAATATCATCAAGCAAGAAATTCCCAAAATAGCAATACTATTCTGCTCCACCTTCAGCCTTGTTAGAACACTTTTCATCACTTTGCATAATCTTCCTGAATTGGTGATAAAATGAAGACGGTGTGTGGAGCTGAGCAATCACTGTCTTCTGTGCATTTATCACGTCAGGTTCACTGAAATCTCCCCCTATTGCAAGATCCCCATCTAATTTCCTCTTTTTTATCTTGTCCACATCCATCGCGCGTACACTCTAAAAAAACAATAAAAACGATTGAAACGTGGAATTGACATTAAAAAACGCTAGATGGGTGACACGATTATAATCCCTTATTCAACTAAAACTGGAATTTGAGAGAACGAATTGAACCACTCTCTATCAAAACGAATAAATTTAGAGCTCCACGAAATAATGAGGGCTAGGGGTGAAGTAGAATCTGCAATAAAATTCGGTAACCTTTTAATTTGATCTATGGGATAATCAGATTGCATATTTCGGAGATAACAATTACTCTAAAGGAACAGACTCAGGAGCCTACTGATAGGTTGTTTAAAGCGAATTATCGAGTAGGGAACCTTGATACGCATGTCCCCTTTTACATCAAGACAAACCTGATTAGAAGACGCAAGGCGTGCACTTCACCCTAATTCGCAACTATGATAAGATATTAGGGAATCTAGGGGGAGAGATAAATATCTTTACAAACGCTAAAATTACTCCGCTCGTAGGTATTTCGAATCGCGTAAAAACAAAGGATTAAAAAGACGCCCCCTTTCGGCTAATGCTAGAAAATAGAAGACAAGCCAAAGCCAAGTATTCTCCAATGATCATAAGGCTAATGTTGAACACTCCTGACCCACATTGAAGCATAAACCGATTGCCTAATAGGGCATTAAAAGCAACACTCAAATCGAGGCTCTTTCATAATTAATGCACTACCTAGTGCAATAAATCCCCAGACTGTCAAAAGAAATTACTTGAGACATCCTCAATTCTCTTACTGGGTGGTAAATCCTATTTCAATGTTTCGTCGCTTAAAATAAGGAAACTAAATGAACTGGGAATGAAAAGTTACTCACCTCAACCATTTCTACATCAGCTCTACTTTTCAATCCATCATCAGCTGATTCCACATTGGTCGCATTACGTTTCGCCTTTCTTCCCGAAGATTTCGCTGCAGGTGGTTTGGCGTGAAGTGTCAGTCGCAGACCAAGGCTATGGGCAGTTGACTCGGACACTGTGATGTGGACAATAACGTGGTCGAATACGCGATAAGATTGTCGAGACCCAATGGGTCTCACTACTTCCAACTGGTCGCATAGTTGTGCTCCTTGAGCTGTCGTTTCAGTCGATGCTGCACTTCGCACAATCTAAATTAACATGGAAACGTCAAGTTTGAATGCAATTTTAAAAGAAATCGTTAACCCATGGATTCCAATACAGGTGAGCATAAGTTGAATGCAACAATGGGATTTGCCAGTAAGCAGTTAACATGGACTATCTTAAGAAGCAAGCATAATTAGAAATACTCATTTCTATTCCCAATAACAAGCATGAATGTGACTAACAAGGTACAAGAGTAGCGTCCACTGACCCATCGTGCATGTCTACGTTTCCCGGTCCTCATTTCCACCTTGCATATTTCCGAAAGGCCTTGTGCTACTTGGTATCAACTTAATCAACCTAAAAACGTTCCTTTACAAATGCTTATTTACATCGCACATTTATTTCAATCCCCAAAATCTATATTCGATGATTTCAACTCTGAAACAAAGGCCATCATTCGTCTGAAGAAGCAAATGGTGTAAAGCATCGAAAATTAAAATGGGATATTCCTCTTCGCCACCAAACAAACGAATGTAAACAAAAGATTAATAAAATCATACATAACAAATAAAAAATTATTGGTGAAAAAGGTTGAGAAATTACCTCACAAGCTTCATCTTGAGGTAGCCACGTGATAGCACCTGTTTTAGGATCAGAAACCCAAGCGACTGCACCATCTGTTCTCTTGAGGCAAACATTTCCCCGAATGCCATACCTAAATGAAGTAAAAGAGGGCAGTGAAAAACACGTTGGCCATATTTTTCTCAACCGAAAAGATGGGAGAAAATAATACCTTGACACGACGACAGAAAATCCGTTTGAACCCCGCAACTCACAGATAACAGCATCAGCATATCTACAAGGATCATCTTCCGGCTTCGCCTTGAAGAAGAGAGCTTGGAAGAGCTCAATTGAGCTTCGTTGGGCTTGCTGCGCAGCCCAGTGTCGTTCGTTCATATGTTTGCATATTGAAGCCAGCTCTTCATGCTCGTAGAGCTCTTGTGGGGTCATTAACTTGCTACTTGCAGTAGTGTGCTGTTTAATAGCTGCCATCAGTACCCGATGTACCTAAATGAAAAAGTAGATAACAATGGTGAAAATAAATGCCATCTACTGATAAGCTTTAAGTAATAAAGATTTACGATAACATCTGCATATCGACGAATTGGTGAGGTAAAGTGAGTGTACAGATTTAGGGCCAGACCATAGTGGCCAAATTGATCACGAGTCAAGTCCTCCGACCCAGTAGAGAAGTAAAGAGCATTGGTCATTGCTCTAGTGGCCAATTGACGAAGTAAATTATTCACCTAGATAAGCAAGTTAGCTCATTACAAGCATATACTGATATCAATTGCAAATGTGATTATTAGCACTTACTTCAGGATCATTGGCATCAATACACTTTGCAAGGGACGCCGAAAGAGATTTGTTTGAATCCACTTCTAAATTGAAACCTTTAGAGGCAGCACACTTCTTCAAGCCATCGAAAAACTCTGGTCTGGGAGGAGGATGTCTTCTTAGACAAGATTTCTCCGGGAAGACCTTGATACACTCTCTTGCAACCCAATGATTTGCGAAGATCATGAGTTCTGCAACTGTGGAATGCATTTCAAGAGGCTCCTTAGGAACAATATCCTCTAAGGCGCCAGTTCTTTCATCTGGGTTCTCAAACTTCACCGACACCTCAACAGAATCCAGCTCGAGACCACCCTGGTCAATTCGCATGTGACGAATCTGAGAGGCAATGCGGACCAACATGCTGATTGAAGAGTAGAGCTGGCCCAGACGTTGTAGTACTCTATCTTTCGGGAGAGTAGCTAGTTCAGGTATTAATTCAATAACTTTCTTAGAGCCTCCCAAGCAGGATAAGATTTTCTCAGCATTTGGAGCAAACACGTCACCCACATTTTTTAAATCTGCAATGGTTTGAGCTGCCTTGTATGTCATTTTATAGGAAGAACGGATGACTGTACGACCAAACCAGACGTCTTGAACTTCAAGCGTCATTGGATCTAATTCCCAGATCACACTGACTGCATACCTATGAAATATTGATTCGGTTAAGAGGCAGACGTGAATTGAAGAAAGTGGTTTAAGAGCTAGATTACCGATCGACTTCGCTCCACAGTGAACATATATCTCCGCTAAGAATACCCGGAAGCATATCATAGCGTCTGTCCGCCAGATACACTGATGTAGAACGACGTCTCGCTTCAGCATCCAGATTTCCATTTGACTTAACAAAGAATGTGACATCAGCAATGTGGACACCAAGTTGAATCCTTCTCTTAGTGGGGTCGTCCGTAGGACTTCCAAGAAGTTTTACAGACAGGGCGTCGTCCACATCTTGACATCCTGGTGGATCGATAGAGAAGACTAAGGTGTCTTCGGAGTTGGGGTTACCTGAAATTGCTGGAGGTCGAAGGTCACGACGTTTTTTGACCTCAGTGGAATCAACTTTCCAAGAGCCACGGGCTGACGCGAGGTGTTTGAGCTCATCTAGTTGAATATCTGTGAAGGGGCGGTGAGCTAGATTGTGTTCGACGAGAATGGTTTGGGTTTCGGTTTCGAGATCACCGATAGGACCCAAGGAACGGACAAAGTGGCCACAGGGATAATTGGAACTGGCATCCCAACGATCAAGGCGAACAACAAATCTAGAGTAAAATTAAGAGCATCCAAGTCAAAATTAAACTTGGCTGTATTTTTTTATTAAATGGCGATGAATGAAAAATAATAAATCGACAGTGCTAAAAGTAGACACTTGCGTGACAGAAAGCAGCCATCGTGATTAAAACAACGTCTAGCAGACTAAAAAGAAATCTAAAAAACATCACAATGGGATTACGTCTGATAGATCAGGAAATTTACCAAACTGTCCCAAAATTATACGAGATCACTGTATCAATGAATACAAAAAGGATATAACTCATAACGATACGGAAACAAAGACACCGGTAAAACACCAGGAAACAGTAGGAGAAAATGCTAGAAGTCAAGCTGAAATGTCGTTTTTAGAAAATAGTTGGCGAACAGGTACAAAAGAGAAGATAACGGGCAAATTGCTAGTGAAATTCCTTTTACCAAAAATAATAACTCCAAGATCTAGATACATTAATACAAAGAGTGCTCGTTAAAACTATTGCATTTATATAAAGAGAAGATGGATAGTGAGAAGGCGAAACTTGGACGACAAATCCAATAAAAATTCATGTAGAACACCAACAGAAAAGATAAATAACAATGGGATTTTACCAATGAGAAGGATTTCATATTATAGTCAGCAGTTTATTAATAAAAAAGTTATGCCAAAAATCAATAGGGTTATGTCTGTTGCACTCAACAAAGACTATTCCGGTTTTTAAATGACAGATCGAGACCCAAGGGGTTTCGGCGACATGCTACAAGAAAGACATCTCCATCACTCAACAGGTGACTTCAAAAATGATCAAGTGTCTACTTTTCCGAAGACTTCCATCGATAAACAAGCAGAAAGTTTAGCCAATTTTAGAATTGATGATATTCAATATTTCTTTTTTCCGTAAAGCAATGAACTTAATCTCCCGAAATAGCAAATAAACAAAACGTTTGGCAAAATGGATAGGAATTTTGGGTATAATTTCACTTCAAAAGATAAGAGGACACTATGAAGAACAAGAAATGCATAATAAGTTAAGAAACGTGGTAACAGATAACTGACACAAGAGCCAATAAAAAACAGTAAAAAAACAATAAATATAATAATAATCTTACCTCTTAAAACACAAACGTTTCAAAATTGTTAAACAAGTTTTAATGCGGGTATAATACGGACGTATTTTCAAGCGTATCAAATTGCTAATTGCATAAATTTTTGAAATCGAATTACCTATAACCATTAAGTTTGGCAGGTTCTGATGTGAATATACGCACCCTTGGAATACGTCTATCCCACGGAGTAACCACAATCCATCCAGGGGCACCATGAACCTGTTCCACAACTGCACCATCATCTCGTGGCACGTAAGAACAGACATAGTCTCGCCAATTACGACTCAGTACACCAACAACGAAAGCACAGGGCAATGTTGAGGTCTGTCCACCAGTGCTTCCACGACCCGTCTTCGAGGCAGCTTCTCCTCTCTCATCTACTGCTCCAGCGTTGTCGAGACTTGAAACGGTGGCTTCAGCAACCCCTTAAATTGTGTAAAAAAGATTAGTTAGGAGAAAGATGATGATGATGATGATGATGACCCATATTGGCTTCCAGTGCCTTGGTTGTAAGAAACTCAATCACAATATTACTGAACTGTCACAAAAAGCCGCTTACATGATTTTGCATTGTGCAAGATTGAACACTATCAGCAATAGTGCACCTATAACACCTAAAGCAGTGTTTAAATATCAACATTTGAACTTTGAAACAATGTGGTGGTTCAAAAAGAAGCGAAATTTATGGGAGCTCTTAGTTCGACGAATTTTTCCATCGTTTTGGTGAAGAAATTTATGATGAACGTATGTCTGAATTCAACAGGGATCAAAACTATTGCACAAAAAAGACGATATAACAGCAATCACTCCGTGGCTGGCTCTATGTTGGTGCGAAATATAAGAGACAATCACAGAGAAAGGGCATATATTAAGCTAAATGGGATACTCACTAAGATAAGACGCTAAGCGAAAATAAACCCAAATGAAGTCGGAAGAGAAACACAACGATCTTTAACATAAGTGGGGCAACTGTGTTTCTAAGGGCCGTTTTAAAAGTTCAAGGGATTAGATTTAATGAATTTGAAATCTCCATTTAAAAAGAGGGAGAAAAAAACTCAGTAGTGCGAAAAGTCTTCGAATGAAAAAAAACTCTTAGAACCATTAGCGTAATTTACTAAACCTCCATTAACGCAGAGAACGCTTCAATTTAAGACCATTCCTTACCAGCTTCTGAAGGGGCAATATTGCCAGAGGTTGTCGTCCAGAGGTGGCGCGGTAAAAGACGAACCACAACAATATCTCCATCAACGGCACGATTTCGGTGAGCCAGACCATGGATAGCCACCTCTGAACGCGATGCGAATTCCGTATCCTGCACTTCCCCTTGATGTTTCATAGCACTCGCACTAAAATGAAAATAAAAAAGTAAGATACAGCTAACCGTCAACACAGATTGACTTCGAAAACGGTACTTACTCAGTGAGAACGACTATGGCTTCCGTGGTGCATCTGAAACGCGAGACACGCAAAACACCTTGAAGAAACTGTCCAGAACGAGTGCCAGCTAAGAGAGCTGATTCTGATAAATGTGTGGGATAAATATCACCAGGGGCCGGTTGTTGAGGTAGATTAGAAGCGTTTGCGGACAAAGTGGTCGATGCATCTACTCTATCTTTTTGTGATTTCAGAGAGGCATTAAGGGAATCAAAAAGTTGAAGAGCTGTGGTCAATTTTGAGTGATACGCCTTGAGATAAGAGGCTAAATCCATAGTAAGAACTGCCCCACTATTACGAGGATCCCTCTTGGCTAGCTCATTGACAACATCTGTGTTGTCAGTCAGGAAAATGACCCTAACTCTATCACCAAGGTGACGATGGTACCATTGAGAGGCAATCCAGTTGAGCCGAGTTGTGTAATCCAAGCTGGATTCGTCCGGACATGGTTGGTGGAAGCAGTCTTCTTGAAACTCGTTATCAAAAAGTACGCAACATTGAACCGGGTCTGCGAGACAAGCTCTAATTCGATTATAAACAGCCTTAGAGGGAGCTTGCTGCTGCGCCTATAAATTATAAATCAATACAAATAAAGGGAAAAGACAGCAAAAGAACATATTTGATAAATTGCTTACAAAATTTAAGGACGACAAAGTGACTACAATTCCTTGAATTTCTGTTGACTCAAAGATTTCCCAAAATGAAAGAGCATAGGATCCATCAACAATGATAATATTTTCGAGATTATTCGGTAAACAAAACCCAGGGTGACATTCTTTTAGCGGACAAAAATTCGTCCGACATGGTATATCTTTGCGTAAGTAGACCTCCCGAGTAACCCGAACTTCCTTGCCCTGAGGAGTTACATAGTTGATAACCTTCTCAGATTTGATGCGAGAAATGATAAACGGCTCTACCACGCTCATACTTGGCTATTATCGGTAGTGTTGGTATAAGGTCATATTAGATGATATTGAAAACCGGACCATTAACAATATGTTGTTTAAGAAAATGAAAAAAAGTCTTTTATTAAGTATACTGCTATGTTTTCAATTATTTACATTGAATTTCATTATTTTTTAGAAATATATGGCATTTTTGACAAAAAACAACTATCAAAATGATTAAATGTAATAATTTAGCATACAATTTTCTTTTACTTTAAATAAATTATTTTGGAAATTATTCATATCTCTTCGTCAAGAATCACAAGAAGTCCAGAATTTCAATTTTAGTTTATGTTTCGAATCGACCAATCGTCTATTGCCTTTTTCATGCCGTTCGTTTTTAATGTTTTGTCAATTTTTACGAAAATAGACATCATAGTAGATATTTCCTTCTAAGGTATTTTTATTTTTCATTTATTATATATTATCTAGTTTTGAGCACTAATAACTCTAAGTATGTTCTTTATTGTATTTAATTCTCTTTAGCGTAAGAAATGCAGTCAGTTGAATCTACGATTAGTTCTGCGTTTCTAGATTGTTATGATGTTGCCCTTCATGACCCTTCTAAGCCATCAGACCACTTTTCGTCATATCCTCGATTTGTTTTCTCTCCTACTGGTTCCATAATCTGTTCTTTTTCCCCCAACCAACTTTATTGTCGTTTTCCCAATGACAAGGTCTTTTCGTGGACTCCTTCAGAATTTAGCCTCTTTTCCACCGTTTTAAAGAATTGGCCGTCCGATGCTCCTCGATCGTGGACCATTGCTGATGCCACCTTCTTGCCTTATTCATCCCAAATTCTCCTATTACTAGCTCCCCCTGAAAGTGGAAAACCGCTTAGATCGATCATTTGTTTTATCGATTTAAATGATGGAATCGTTGTGTCATTTCAAAGGTTTATTTGCGTTAGAGGCAGAGCTGAGAAGATTCATGTTGTTTCTACCGAACCCAGTACTTTGCCTGGTTTTCAAGGAGCTGTGGTCGTCGCCTTAGAACATGGACAGATTGCCCTTCTGGGTTAGTTTGTTTGAATTTTCTTTCGTTTATTTCTGCGCTGCATTACTTTATTCCCTTTTGAATTCTAGATCTCTGTCTTGGATGGAACATTCCAGATATAACTTACTTAGAAACTAGTGTTTGTATTTCGGTTGAACAGTGTTTGGAATCCCTTGCAGAGGACCAGCCAATTTCTACAATGTCTCCAAAAATGGAACATGCTCTCGTGATTCTGAACGGTAAATTCTTTATTCACATTACTGAAAATCCTGCAATAAATCCCATGGAGCAAGCGTGATTTTTTTGTCTTGCAGCTTCACGGATTTCGCTTAATAACTTTTACTACCAAACACCGCGGAATGAAACAATAGGAAGATTCGCCTCTGGTAAGTATTGACATATATTTTTTGCGATACGCGCTTTTGCATTAAACTTTTGTGTTGGTTTTTCTTTTTCAGTTTCTGTAAATGTCACTCTTCTTAACTACGTCTCACAAATCAAGGCCCTTGTTGTTGGCTTTAGTTTTGGAGGGTGGCAACTGTGGAGTCTCACCAAGTTAAAGTTACTGTAAGTGTTCTTTAGCCCCAAATGACCTTCTAATCGAATGTAATCCAAACTAAAGGTCTATTTTTAAAATTCGTTTTAAATGATCCATTACTTAGTTAGTTAAGTCCTCTTCTATTTGGATGCCTTTATTTCAGTCTAATTTGTAAAATTGTGCGATTAGTTTATTCTCTCATTTTCTTTCTGAAGTAGTTCCCTCTTCTCCGCTATTTTTATTGAACACGATCGTTTTCTTCTTGAGAAATTGATTCCATCCTGTTTTTTGTTCGAACTATGAGACTAAAATGTTTGTTCTTGTTTCTTATTTCCCAATCCCATGGATGTACTTTGTTCTCGCTTATCTTTATTCTTCCATTTTCCATTTGGCCTTCTGGAATACATTTTAGCTTATTTACCAAGTTTATGTTACCTTCCATTTTTCACATCTTCTTGACTTTGTAGCTTATATATAAGTTGATGTATTACTCTTTCTGCGCATATTTAGACTTTTTATCAATTATTAATAGGTTTACCTTCCGCGATCTGCCACCCATGCCTGTTCCCGTAGTTGAATGCGCCTTCACAGAACCTTCTGACGATCCCCGTTACTACTGCTATCTTTGGATCGGTTGGCAGTCCATCATTAACCATTCTAACTCGATTTCCGATTCTACTGGTACATCTGGCACAGCAAAGTGAGTTTTGACTCACCTTTCATCCTGTTTGTTGATGTCTCATCTCTTTTCCTTTCTTCATATTTCCATACAATAACCTCTCTCTCAAATTAACTTTTAGATCGTAAATTGTTGCCACATAGGCTCTGCTCTATAGCTCATTCGTTTGATCATCTTGTTTCATTTTTGAAAAAAAATCGTATCTCCTTTGTTGCTCATTTTTTTTCTTTTCCTTAGTCCAAAGGTGGGCCTTTTTCAATTGGGCTTTCGGGAGCGAACTGAGCGCATCCAGCCTGAGACGGAAGATACCCTCTACGAATATGACGTGCGTTTTGTGCTTTGTTATTCTTTTCCTTATTTGGTTTAAAGTTCGCTATTCATTGGTTCCTACTTCTCATAGAATTTCTATGGTGGAACAAGACGTTTATCGACAATACTTACTCCTTTAAAAACCTCACTTTCCCATGAGCCTCCTCACTGGAAAGCTCAAGGGCCCCTACTCACATCCATTCAATCCCTGGGTGCTAATTATACCCCAAATTTCGGGCTTCGGTCCAACCGTCTTACTGCTCTAGTGTGGCGAGCCGCCCCAAACATTATTCGTATTGGGCTGTTTGATCTGGATCGGTGGTATCATGCTCAAATGCCGAGCGGTATTAGATCTGATAACTCCTTCTTCACCGTGTATGATGCGTTCTTGGATCAGCCTCGCGCTTATCCACTGGTATGTAGGATTTGTTCTTCGCATTTAAAGTTACCTTCGTTTAGACTGCTTATGTTCTTCCGCATACTATATTTGCCTTCTGGGCAAATGTCTATCGTATGGAATTGAGTGCTTTCAAAATTTGTGGTGAGGTGTCGGCGGTACAAGGACCACTGCGTGGATATCAGGATCTGCGGAAACCTCTTCTTGAATGTCAACTTCGTCCTTCGACTCATGGTTTCAAGGCTTTGGTACCTTTTATTATTGGTAAGAGTATAGTTCTAGCTTTTGAACTTTGTTTCAGTTATAATCTTTTACTGATACCCGTCGCATTTTTACATACTTAGAAATTTTTTAAAACGAAACGTAGAGTGTTTAATACCTATTCTAGAAGGTACTGTATTACATTTTCCTTGAAAAGTTTTAATTTACCTTTTTTCTCTTTAAACCGCTTGGTCACCTATCCATTGACCATTCTCCTTCCAGGGTTATCCAATCATAAGCACTAAAATTTGAATAGCTCTTATTAACCTTACTTAATAGGTTTATTTGTGTTGCGGGGAGGTGCTTTTTCGCAAATTCATAACCTATAATGAGTGAAGGGTAAATCTTGAATGTTGATTGTATTCTACGGTTAGGCATTTCTTTTATGAGGAGGATCCTCTGCTACTAAAATATTGCCATAAGGGTTCTTTAAAAATACGATTTGTACAGAGATGTATGACGTCTTCTTTAGTGCGATGAAAGTGAAGCCTGGAGGTTTTCTTCCTGAAAAAAAAGAATTTTTGATTCAATTTGCCATTCGCGTCTGTTTGTCCTTCCTTTGTCGAAGTTTGAGACATTTGAAGTTTATCCTTTTGATTGAAGTTTAGCTTTAAAGAACGGGTTGGTTTTTATGAGCAAAAATTTTTAGTTGTCTGGTGATGTTTGCGGAATGACAGGTTTGGATAATCAGTGAGATCAGGGATGTTACAAATTTCTCATTTGCTTGACTTTATATTTCTTCGTCTATTTTCTCGAGAAAAAAATTCCCGACTTCTTGCCATTGATAGTTTGTGATTAAATACTTATTGGGATTCGTAATAGAAAATAGACTTAATCTTGCGCTATTCTTCCATTTTCAGCCCTCTCCACAGCCTTTCAATGCACTTCCACTAGGTTTCCAATCTCCATATAAGGAAAGATATGCAATTCACTTGATCTGATTTTCTCCAATGCGTGTGCACAGGTTCATAACTGTTTACTGATTTGTATTTGCAATAAAACGGACGTTTTTTTAAATGTTCTCAACACTAGGACAAGTAAATTTGGGAAGAGAAAGGTATCCTAGAGTAGCCCTTAGGATAAACTCAGTTTGCCATATCCTATTAACCTTAACTAACCGAGTTGGTTGATCTCTCACACAAACGGATCGACATTGATATTGTAGCCCCTGAGTTAGTAGGCATGCATGTTGACCAATGCTCCAACAAAAATGTGCTCAATTTTTAATACCACTATTTTTTCCTTTAGATTATTCTGTAGCCTTCTCAACCCAGACCTTCATATCCCGTCAGGAGTCTGCTCTGCGAGAAATCTCTTCCGCAATCTCCAAAGCCCTCACTTCTAACTCCACCACATTCGATCCTACTGAATGGATTACCGAGGCAGCTGCATGTGGCCTACTGCAGGAATTCGAAGACTCCGATATCGACATTCTTCAGGCCTTGAAAGAAGTTGAGGGTTCCGACTGGATCCTACGTTTAGCAATAGGCCTCGAAAATCCACCCCAGGAATTACTCAAACAGATTGAATTAATAGATGGTGAAGAAGAATGGGAAGGTGGCGACTTTGAAAGTTTTAATCCATCTCCGCAGAAAGATCGAAGAAAGCGTAGAATACTCCCCCTTCGTGATACTGATGATCATAGAAGAGGAGTGAAAAGACCTCGAAGTGTTGTTGAAAACGAGACAACACGAGGGGTTAAATACCTTCCACCTGCTTGGGTGATCATCGCCAACTGCCTCTTGGATCATGGGATGTATGAGGATATAAAGAAGCTTGATGTCCTTATTTCCTCTCAGGAGGAGTTGAATTTCAATCCGAAAGTTTTTATGCGTCGGTGGCTTTGGTTGAAGTGGTTGGGAAAGAAGTATTGCCTTGAGGAGCTGCTTATGCCTATATTTGAAAGTGAGAAAGAGGTCAAGTCGAAGCTCACTTATGAGGATGGCATCAAGGAGCTGTGTCTATGCTTCCAGTCTGTAAGTGTGATATTTCACTGTCTTGATTCTTTATTTCGTGAAGGCACAAGTTGTTCCTTTATCCAGTTACTTTGGTCCACTTATAACGCTGCCGTTGTTGGAGGTTTGTAGGGGAAATTATTGGTGCTCTAGAGAATTATCTGGTTGCAATGTGTAATTTGGTCGATAAATCTTCTCAAAGGTAGGCTAGTTTCGGAGATTGAATTAGTCCTTTATACCGGGGGATGTGACATGCTGTCTGTTACTCTTTTTGGACTCGTGTTGTTAGAATCATTCTACTATGGCTTGGATTCGATTAGTTATTGTTGTGATTTTCCCATCTATGAAAGATTGCGTTAATGCTATAATTTTAATATTTTTTCTTAAAAAATGAGCGAGATAAATTTATTTCATTAACTCTTTCTCCATTGTTCCTCCCAAGTTTAGTAGGCTGAAAGTAACTGAATGCTTCTACGTTCGTTTTTGAGGTCTCTTCTACGGAGACAATGAGCCTACTTTTCACCCTAAGTGCAAGAAAAAAATAAAGCCTCGTTAATTCGAGTTATCACTACAATTGGAATGAGTGAAATTTCTCCTTAATTGTCTTGGCCTTCTCTTTTTGATTGTTCTTACCACAAGTTATTTTAAACGCTCTTTTGTGTATTTTATCTTTCTTATTTCTTTACAAGTTATTACTCTAATTTCGTATTTTTTGTATCTTCCTTTTTTTCGATTTTAGCTTCGAGTATTAGCCGACATTGCAAAGGTGGTCATGTCTCCTTCCTTTATCATCGATGGGGACTTTGAGAATTCCGAAGCCGTCTCCGCTGAAGCCAAACTTAAGGTCATTCAATCCCTAGCAGAGTACACTCGTCCTGTCAGTCTTTTAATTCGTCTTGGTCTTCTTCCACAAAGTGCACATTTCAAACCTAGATCATCCGCTCTCTCTCCCTATAACTATGAGGAAATTAACGGTCTAATAGTGAAACTTCAGGGAATGCAAAATGCATCCATCACTCGGCCACCATTCATCACTGACTGTCTGCTTGATCACCTTAGGAGCATCTTAAACACCTCGGATCAAATTGACACTGCTTCTTTGAATGCTCTCACCTCTTCATACCCGCCCAAACACCTTCAATCGATATGTGCTCTCTGGCGATGCTTCGATATGTCTACTGCTTCCTCCGGTCTGCCTACTCATTTAGCTCTTCTCTGCTTCATTCTCTTTGATGCTGTTACAGTTACCGCTCTTCACGAAGACGCTACTCAAGCTATAGAAGATAATGATGATGATGATGAGATTAAACAAGATCCGCCAATTCACGTAGTTGGTCGGTTGCGTTTAGTGGAAGTAGATAAGAATGCAGCCCATTTCGTGCCATCTTCTGCTGTCTTAAGGCCTAGTCCTGTTGCACGAGCTGTTAAATTGGTTAGGATAACTATTGGCCCTTATAATCCCTTTTGCTGTGTTTGTCAAATTTCCCGTTTTCTTACAGCAACAGTATGTCGTGAATCAGGTTGGCAATGAATTCCCGAACTTTGGAAAATTCGTGTCTACTGTTCGGACCCTGTGGCTGCTTGATAGATTCCGATTTTCTGTAAGTCCTAATATTGCTTTGCAAGAGTGTGTGTGTGTGAAGATACAAGCTAATTAAGTATTACTTGTTTTTAATGTATTTGTTGATATGTGTTTTCTATTGTAGTTCCTAAACTCATTGATTTTGGGTAATAACAAGAGTTCTAATTTCATTGTGGATTTAGTATGATTTTGCCTTGCAATTTTCAATTCTTGAAATAGAAAAAAAATCGACTAAGAGCTGGAAATGGTGTTTGGTTAAAAATAGTTGGGCGACCAAAAATATCTATTTCATTTGACTTATGGGTTTTCAGAGAGCTTACTCGCTTTTCTTAAAATGCGATCTCGTTTTGTCCGAATCTTAATGTATGGACCGGAATCCGTGATCGAGATATTTGCCTTTCTTGACTTTAAGGTTGCGAGGTATTCAGACTAAATCCAGTGATTGATCTCCTTTATCTATCTATATCGTGCTTCCAATAACTGAAACACTACCAATCGATGCATTCCTATTAATAATCACTAAAATTCAATTCACTATGTCGTGGTTATTAAATTTTCCACATGTTCTCCTAGGATGTCCTTTGCTCCCGTTTGAGTATTTTGGCCACGGGTCAGGTGACTGATCTCGCTCACCTACCCGAGGTTTTTCCCAACCAGTCGCGCCTTGTTGCCGATTTCTGCGCTCGCTACGGTCAAACTGAGCTGGCGGCCAGATTCGATCCCCACTTCAATTTAAATCAAACTGCCGGCTGTGTTGTTCCAGGCCTCTATCAAGCTCGTCAGCTCTATTATCAAAAGTCTGATTCCCATGAGGCTGCCGCAATTCTGATTAAAGTGGCTAATTCTTTTAAGAAAAGCAAGTTCTTTCTTTTGGATTGTGTCCATTCCTTCATTCACCTTTCTTTTTCCTTATAGGAGGTCAATTTCTAGACTTCATCAGTCCCGGTTTATCCCAGTGGGAGGCTGCAGTCCTGTTCACTGATTTACGAAATCGTGGTGAGAAGAGGTTACTTCTTGCTGCTTTGATTGCTGGCGCGCAATACAAGGAAGCACAAGTTATTCTTACAGAACTGGATTCCAGTGGAGGTCGAAAGCTCTCTGTCGATCCTACTGTCCGTTCTCTTATCTCAACAATATCCACCTGTCTCCCTCAACTCAAATTCTTCTCTGTACTACCGCATCTCAGACCGAGATTACAAGAGGGTTCGTTACAAACCGGACGTCCTTCCGTTGCTCCCAGTGTGACTGGCAGTGATCGTAGTAAAGGACGTTGCTGTCCGACACTTCATGTTGAAGAGGGAGTGGGCGTGGATTCTCTTTCCTCCAAAAGTCACTTGGCGAGACAATTTGCCACACCGAAAGGCAAGCGTCTGCCTTTTCAACCCTCAATTGAGGATAGAATGCGAGCCACAGAATTTTGGAATCAATTTGACGTGTAAGTCCCCTTGAATGAGTCCAATTTTCTTTTCAATCGGAAATAGGAGTTGATTGGTGTTGGGAAATGTCTTTTCATTTCACTTGCAAATTTGGTTTGATAAGATATGTCATTCTAAGGCTGCTCTTATTGAGCAACTCGCATTCTCTCGCTTTAATCTGTACTAATTTTTATGCTGTTGTACATTTAAGCTATTTTTTCATGGAAAAATGTCATTTGATTTCAAGTTGCTAGTTTTGTTCTCAATAGCTCAATATGTGCTATTTTAATGTTTCAATTCACACATTTCTTGATTTAAAATCTAGGTAAATGAATGCTATTTTATATTTTCATTATTAGCCATGTCAGCGTGTTGAATCTAACAAAGAGCAATCATTTTTTGTTGCTGTGATTTTTTACAACTTACCGCTTTTTCGTCACAGGACTCAACGTGTTCTTCGCGGTGAAAAACCTTTTGAAACTCCTAGATCTCCGGTAAAGCCCAATATTACGGATAGTGCTCGACGCTTGAGAAGGAAGCTCAACCAGTAATTTGAAATTACTGAAACACCCTCTCCCTAAATTTCAGAGCTTTCTAATCAACCTTTCGCTTTGTCATCTGTAGGTTGCTCTATTCCTCCTCTGTGATCAGTCCTTTCCAGCAAAAAAATAAGGCGTCGAGTTTATTTGCTTCTGTTCCTGAATCGACTGCTTCTGCAGCTTCTGGAATTGCTACGGGTCATCGAGGAAGTGATTTCTGGTCAGAGTTGGGTGAAATGAATCGGAAATCGGATTTTTCAACTACTGCTTCTACTGTCACTGCGAGTAGAAATAGCAAAAATCCATCAACTACTTCTATACTCAAGGTTAGTATCGTGTGGAGTTAATTTTTACTACACGAAGGCATTTTTGATTTTCTTTAAGTTTGTGCATATTTCCCTCACAACTTTCCATCTTTTTCTTTTTATTCAGTGTTTTGGAAATCAATTCGAAACTGTAAATGTAATTTTGCGCCTATATTATGTTATTCTTGGCCACTCGCTTGGAAGAAAGTAAATTTCCTCTAACGCAATGGGGAACTGCTTTTTATTGAAGTACAACTTTCGCTTCTTCTTCTTCGGATAAATGAGACCGGTTTTTTAGTCACTCGTACCACAGTGATGGGACATTATTTTCAACAATTAATTCGGAGTAACTGTACTGTAATAACCGAATACCTAAGAGTTGATTTCTCTTTAGTGGGTCTATTTTTTTTAAGTTAATTACTTGTTTTTATTTTTGGAGTATGCTCCCATCGGTTTCTCTATCTCTTTCTGTTTGATCCGATTGATATTTGATATATCTTACTGATTACTTACAAAGGAGGAAGAAGTGACGTAAAATAGCCAACTTCGCTTAACTGCCTAATTGGGCTTCCTGATCATAAATCCGTTCCAATTCTCACTCCACTGACGTTTACTCCATGCTCTTCCAACTCCTGTTATCTTTAAGATCGTTTCGTTTACCCTGACCTTTGGATTCAGCTCTGGTTGTCTTCCCCTATAGGATGGGTTACAGTGCCCTGTTTGTGTCTACGTTTATCTCTGGTTCTTAGAGAGCACATCTAGGCTAATTTTGTCGAGCTTTCTTAACGGCCTTTTGGTTTGCGTTTTCCTAATTTTTAAATAAAATCTATTTTTGTTTGATATCAATTTGTAGTAATTATGCTGCTTTATTGTACTTCCTGTCTAGGTGCGTTCTGTTCCAAAAGATCCAGTAGCGAGTGATGATGATGACATGTCCCCTCCTACTCTCCCTCCTCAAAAAATACGGAAAAGACGAACCCTCCTTCTCACCATGGCTGATGGTGAGAAGGCAGATGAACCCTCCTCTTCCAGTGTTGCAGATTTTGACATTTCCACATCGGATATCTTAAAGGATGGTAACGGGGATGGCGAAACATGTCAGTTGAATATTAGCTCTGATGATGCAGAAATCACCATCAATGCGTCAACTCTTCACTTAAGTAAGAAATTGGGTTCAACGATGTTATTCGTCTTCAATAGCTTTTTTATCATTGTCCATGTTACTATGATAGGAATGTTGCGCTTTTTACAAATATCAAATTGTGCAAATAGGCATTGGTTTCCTTTGTTCTGTAATTGTACTTCAGGAACCGTTTGTCAGCGTTCAGTCAGTAATAGTGTTAAACCTATCTAATAAAATATCAGTAGATTGTTTTTTGCCTATTTCTCACAGAATTAGTTTTGATAAACGTGTTTCTTCAAAGGATCATCGGATTGTTTCGCATTTTTACCTACCAAAAGTGAACTTCTGATACTCTGAAATGGAGTAAATCCAAGAAACGGGGTATGCTTATGATACAGCGGTTAGTATGCTGAAAAGCTGGAAGTCAAGTGTTCGATGCCTATCTGTGCATACTCAGTGGACGAAATCGCTAATCCCTGTTTAGTAAATCGAGTGGCTGAATTTGATTTTCTTATCATAATACTACTCAATTGTCTATAATCAGTTTTTGGGAATTCCTTCTAATGGGGCTTATTAGTTATGTTTGTTACCATGCCGGTTTTGAGTTTCATAATTTTCCGATGGATTGTGAGTTCAATTGATTTTCTTCTCTGTATCACGGCTTTATTCGATAAATTTGATTTCCCTAATTAGTACTCCCTCCCCCTTTTAGGTCATAGAATATCTCTATCTGAAGGCTCCTTGAATGACTCAAAATTGGCTGATGAAAGCCTTCGTTCAACTGGAATGTACAGCTTTTCGCCACCTATTCGGACTGTAAGTGGCTATCGCCTCATTTTATTTTCCCATTATATAAGAGAGCTCAAGTAGAATGGGTGTGTTGATTGTGAAGGCATTTTGTGAAAAGAAGTAGTCGAAGTTTTTAGCAAACAAGTAGGTAAAACGTTCTTTAATGACTGGATAGTCTGTCCTTGTTGGGCGGGATTAGTTCTCTTGGGAGCCGCATAATCAATGGGATCCTGAGGAGTGGAATATACTTGAGTAGGCGATATGAAAGTCAGATTAATATAACTACATGATGTCAAATTGCGCCAAACTCCCCTTTGGAGGCGACTGGTGGTGCATTTCTCATCCGTAGAGTACAGCTTAATAAGAATTAAAGTAGAGGGAAGGTAATCTAATTTAATGTATTTGATAGTATTTATATCAAATGGCAGGATATATGAATATTATTATTAGCCCCTTAAGTTGACTTCGGGCTTCTTAGAGGGGGAGGAACGGCAAAATCACCAAAAGTGGTGGGGGGGGGGGGGGGGGGGGGGGGGGGGAACAGAAGAATGACTCACAGATGTAAATTAGACAGACATAAAAGTAGAGAAAACTGTAAGGTGAGTACAGTGGAGGTGGTCGAATATGACTTAGAGTCGGGTCATGGTAGTTTGAAGTCAACTGCACACTCCATGTATATGATAGTTAAAGGCAGGCTTTTCTTCACGATTATCTCCTAGCATACTCTATTGCTCTCTTAGATTAACTCGGATAATGCACAACCAAGCGGTATGGACGAGGTGGGAAATGCGCTCTGTACAGCCAGACACTTTGTTTTTGCCTCTCCTGCCACTTTTCTGGCCAGAAAGTTCGTTCCTCCTTCTACCGCTTCTCCTGGTTCTTTGGTGGATGATGAAAGCGGAGATTTCAATTTCAATGTATCAGCCACATCTGAAGGGTTAGTATGTCTTCCAACAACGAATTTTTGTTTAAGTAGAGGTGGTATTAATAAGCTTTTGTTTTGTAGGTTTACTTTTGACAATGTAACTGAAGAGGATGTAGAGGAAGATGGCAACGAATGCTCTGCTGATGTTGCCTTGACAGCAGAAGATGATGACATGTCAACTTTACCTGGAACTGAGGATGAAGTTGAGTCCGTTGAATTACTAACGCCCCGTCGATCTAAGAGGAAAATTAAAGTGCCGGAACGATTTAAGTACTGAATGATCGATGGTGATGATGATTGGCTGCCTATTTCGTTGACACTTGTTCTTTTTTTGGAATCATGAATTAATCATGTAAATAAAACGCATGTCATACTTGAATACGAATCAATGGCTTTAGTAGATTTGCTGTGAAAATGCACAAAGATAGTGATTATGAACCAAGGCTCAAGATGGTAGAAGTTTTTTATAGGTAAATTTTAAACTAATGCATACCATTTAAACCAGAACAACACGAGTTGGGGCTTTCCTTGGTTTGTTTACAATTGAAATGGGACCGATGGCTCTTTCTATTGACCTAAGTTCCTTGTTAGCATATGGGAATCGATATTGGAACAGGATTCTTTTAAAAGTATTAAGTTTACATTTTGTTCTTTCGCTTAACGGGCGATTGTGTATATTGCCTACGAATCTAGTTAAGAACATATCGCATGTTATGTTCCAAATTACAGTAGAATAAAAATTCTTAAAAAAAGCAGTCCTCGCCATTGATTAGTGTAACTAAATGAAATATACGCAGACTTTTAGTACATGAACGAATATTGCGTTATTAAAAGGTACTTCCAATTTGGAATGGGCACGTATTTATACCCCTAATAAAGGTGAAATGATTATAAAACATAATAAACACGAAGATATTAATATAATATTCAAGTAAGATATATTCAGCAGCATTATAAAAAAGTTGTTTCTATAAATTACATCTCTCAATATTATACGTTTGTAATTCTGATTACCTCAAGAAAATTAACACATAAAGGTATGTTCAATAACATAATCCTATAAAATTCAAGATAAACTTAACTAATCAATAACCAGACAATTTTGCAAATATGATAACAATAATACAAACTTTAATCTACGAATAAGATTGAAAGCCCATAATGAAACTGAGTTAGATTAAAGGACAAAACAAATAAGCTTTAATGTGAGAAAATGATAGAAACCAAATCCGGCCAAGCTTATTCTTGGAAATATTTTCGTTACTCTCTAACTATATACGAATGAAAAACTAGAGCATTATATGTTTTAGAATCTAAGAGGCTCGATGCATTTCGTTCGTGCATTAACCATAACATAGCGAATTAATTCTAAAGAAAGCATAAAAATATATAACTGGTCTTATGTATCTTTATATATATATATATATATATTTTACGAGTGTGTCATTTATTTTTTAAGAAAGGTAGGAGGAATTACTATTTAAGAGTGTATCAAATCAGTTTTTGTTTTTACACCTATAATAATTTGGTTTTATGCATATATTTCAGTAATTCAAAATGAATTATTAATGGAAGTTCGTTGGCATTGCAATTCTGCAATCTAAATTTTAATTTAGCACGAATAACGCTTGAATACCAATTTTTAAATGTAAATAAATAAAAGCACCCTGAACATTTACCTATGTTTGATCTTATCTTAAACAAGTAATTGAATTAAATTGTAGTAGAATAACATCATGGAAATCTCAATTTTACTTAAGAGTTATAATTTTGATAGTAATTGACTACATTTTTATTCAATAAACGAAACATGCAAATTATAAAAATTTAAATAAAGAACAGTCTTGATATTTTGATAAGACATATGAGCAGAATTATAATATTAAGAATTATAATAATCAATTATACCTCATACTGTCAAAATGATGTTAGAAAAAATTAGTAAAACTTCATTGGCATTTGAATCTTTTTAGTGCTTTTAAATTCTAGCCGGCGCACTTTTAGAGCGCGTCTAAGTGAGTTTAACGTGTTGATCCTTAAATCTTGTCAATACGAATATTCTGTCACTATATTATTTTATTGACTATTTTTCCTAAAGAATTAATCGTGTTCTTTTTTTAGTTTATCATGGCACACGGAAACGATATTGTTCATAAGAATCATTTCCGAAAACACTGGCAGGGGATGGTTAAGACCTGGTTCAATCAGCCAGCCCGAAAGCACCGCCGTGCTGAGGCTCGCAAGGCCAAGGCTAAGCGCGTTGCCCCTAAACCTGCCTGTGGACCACTTCGCCCCATAGTTAACTGCCCAACGCGTCGTTACAATATGAAGGTTCGCGCTGGACGTGGATTCACATTGCAAGAACTCAAGGCTGCTGGTCTCAGCGTTCCTGTTGCACGTTCAATTGGCATTGCTGTTGATCCTCGCAGACGCAATATTTCTATGGAAGGCCTTAATCGAAATGCTGCAAGGCTTCGCCATTATATGAGCAAGGTTATACTTTTCAACAAGGCTAAAATCCTTCCTGTTCCTTGCCATACTGGAGAACTTAAGAACGCCAAGCAGCGCAATGCTCTTCCGGCTATTCATCAAAAGTATGTGTTCGAGAAGGCTCGTAAGATCACTGACGCCGATAAAAACTACTCTGCTTTCCACGCTATCCGTCAACACCGAGCTAACAAGCGTTTGGCTGGTAAACGTATGAAGGCCCGTGCTGCCAAGGCTGCTGAGTAACGTGTATATCTTTTAATAAATAAAGTTATTATGCAGTGGGTTGAAATTCTTTCCAATTCCATTTTTTGTTGTTTATTTGTAATGGCCAACATAGTTAAAATTTTTTTTACTATTAAGTGAAGAAATTGGCAGGGGGGGGGTCAATTGTTGTTTGTGGCTTGAACTCTGTATATTTAGCTTTTTCTGCTGATTATCTCTCTTCGAAATGATTCGATGAGCCTGCTTTTGGATGCTGCCATGTTTTGGTGAACTGTTGTCGTTTCAGATGGTACCCTATGTTTGTTTGAAGATGGAGGTTTTTTTCAGAATTATGACCGGCTCTTTACCCCCTGATTGTTTTAAGTCCAAGTGAGCTAATACTAAAATTTTTAAAGGTTGGATGGTAATGTCCGTGAAATTTGTCTACTGGATTTATTTTGATTTTCAACATTAATAGCTCCTGGCTTGTTTTTACATTTAGTTATTTTGGTGCCAATTGCTCCGTTTGCTAAGGCGGTTATTCGAATGCCACCAGACGGAATTTCACCTACTTGGTTTATACTTAGGAGTAAGTGTGGGTTGCGGAATGCAATGCAACATGGATAAAGTGAAAACTTCCTTGAATAAATTTAAAATTTCTAATGAAAATGGTGATGGGTGGTTAGTGACAGTCGATTGTCGGGATGTGTTTCCATCTTCTTGTGAGATTTGCTGTATACTGACCGGACATTTTTAGTAAATGAACTGGGTCTGGAATTGAAAGCGGGATAGGAATACAATGCCTGTGAACGTTGCCATTTTGTTCTTGAGGCGAATGCATGTTTAAGTGAAAGACCCAATGCACATGCATGTAAACTTGATTTTGCCTTAAATTCCACAGTTTGGGTCCATCGTCTTGATTCATTATGAATGGCCTAAGTTACTGCTAACTTAATATACCCGTGCATAAAAGCGTAGAAACTTCTGACGGGAAAACGAATGCTCATATCTGTTGGCTTCCGAAGTTGAATAGCTATATTTATATCAGATGGCAGGCGTTTTGACGGTTATTGACTTCAGGCTTCACAGAGGGAAGGAACATCAAAGTGAAAGAAAATCGAGAGGGGTGGGGTAACAGAAGAGCGTTTCAATGACGAAGGTAGAAAAAAGGTGAGGTGAGTAGTGTGAAAGTATTCGAGTATGACACAGTGGGGTGATGGTAGTTTGAAGTGAGAAGTCATATGTCGATTAATAGACTTTTTGCCGTATGAGTATACGTTGTCCAAGGTGCCCTACTTGGAGGTAAGTCTATCGCACAACCCATTGGTGGTAGCAAATATTCAAGTGAGAACCTTGAAGCCGAAGTGGAGAAGAGTTCCATGGGAGCGGCAGTTGGCCATGGGTCAGGAGGTCCTAAGCGATCCGATGACTCGGTACAGAGTCGTTGGGGTCCCTTATACGTTTCTGTGTTGCTCTCATTATTTGAAGCATTTGTGTGGGTGCTGGCAGCCCCTCGGAGCGAAAGGGAATCGGGTTAATATTCCCGACCATGCCCACGGAGTTAGGTCCTGCTTGTGTGCTTGTATCGTTTCGGTGCGAGTTACTGACATCATCAAGCGCGGCAACGCAAAAGAACTCGGAGACGTCGGTAAGAGTTCCGGGAAGAGTTTTCTTTTCTTTGCAAGGACGGCTACCACCCCTGGAATCGGGTTGTCCGGAGATAGGGGTTTCGCCTCCGTTAAGCACCACCCCTCTTGTGGTGTCCGGTACGCTCTTTTTCTTCCCTTGAAAATCCGAGGGAGGCATTGTGATTTTCGCGGCAGGCCGTACCCATATCAGCATCAGGTCTCCAAGATGAAGAGCATCTGGCACTAGAATAATGTAGGTAAGGGAAGTCGCATATTTGTTCCGTAACCTCGGGAAAAGGATTGGCTCTGAGGACTGAGGTAGGAAGCGCGCTCGCTTAACTCGCAGCTGGTTCGAGTGCTGGCCAAATCCTGCTCCCGTTGCTGTTTCACGCATTCCCTACTCGTTGGGGGGGGGGGGGGGGGGGGGGTGCTGCTTACGGCAGCGGTGGCGGCGGGCTGTGCGCTCAAACTGGAAGCGGGCAAAGTGGGTCGTGAGCGACTTCAGCTATGCATACGCCTTGATTGGCAACTGTGTACGGTCGCCGACTTAACTGGTGGTGTGCAGGCAGTTGTATGGCCTCGGGGGGTATTTGTTTAACATGAAACTGCGAACGGAACTGGCACGGACCTGGGGAATCAGACTGTCTAATTATATGTATATATAGTGCGCGTGTGAATCATTGATTCTTCCAATTAGCAATGAAATTTCTTGGTTTAAAACTGCTTTAAACGACATATGCATAACTGCAAAATAATTAATGCATGCTGTCATCAGTAATTTGAACATATAAAATAGTAGTTCGAATGACTCTGCCTACAATTTTCAAAATCAACTTATAGTATTTGAAAGAGATATTCCAATATTTTTTATGGAATTAATGCTTTCCCGCATGTTTGAATATAGAGAATATGATAAAATACCATCATGCTAGTCCATATTGAACGAGCTATGCGATGGAATGAATAATCTCGAGAGCATTAAAAGTTGACCACAGTCTATATACAAGATGAATTATATAAGGTGGTAGATATCCTCACTGAATTTGTCTATAACACTTGTTAATTTATTAAGCATTGACAGTTTGTCTTCAACTGAATACCCTTTATAGTACGATATTGCAGTATAAAAGTTATGTTAATTTATATAGTTAAAATTCATGGATTATTTGAATCACCGCTCGTAGCTTAACCAAATGCCTATTTTTTTGAAATAAAACTAAATTTTCGAACTGTAAGACAAGAGCTTCTTATTTGTGAATCAAACTAAACTGAGTTTGTTTGATTGGATTACGAATGAATATTAAGGTCGATATATTAACCCGCGTAATTTACCCAATCTTGAATTGCATATTATATTTCATTTGTATGGCTCTTCGTAAATCACACTTTTCATTTCATTACTCTTATATTGATGTTTAATGCTCTGTCATGTTAATCAATTTCTATAACCTGAAAGTGTTCCGTTTGTTTTTTTTCTGAATTTTTACTTTATAGACTATGCAAAGACTCAAGTGCACATCTCAAGTTTATGATTGGGGTAAAGTAGGGAGTGCAAGCAAAGTTTACCAGTTGATGGTTTCATCCGAAAAGTCTGACGAATTTAAATCTAACCAACCGTACGCTGAGCTATGGATGGGAACTCATCCTTCCGGACCCTCCGTTCTTTGGAATGATCGATCAATATCACTGGATGCATATATCAAAGATCATCCAGAATATTTGGGTATACCCTGCGTAGATACTTTTGGACATCAACTACCATTTCTTTTTAAAGTTCTCTCCATTGATAAAGCTTTATCGATTCAAGCACACCCTGATAAAGTATGTTTAAGTTATACGCAATGTAAATAAGATTTATGTTTTAGATTTTTGAGCCTTTATAAGTTTTAATTAGTGATTTTTCTTTATAAAGCTTTTCTTTTCATTATAATCACCGCAGTAATATTTTAAAGCAAACTGTATTACCCTAACTTTTATGTATCTGTTTTGTTAATGAGGAATTGTTTAGCTTGTTTTCATTTGCTTACTATTTTATTCTAGAGGTTAGCCGAAAAATTGCATGCAGATTGGCCAGATATTTATAAGGACGACAACCATAAACCAGAAATGGCTATCGCTTTGACAAATTTTGAAGCATTAATTGGATTTAGACCTCTTGTACAAATTCGAGCTCTCATTACCTGTAAGTCACTCTTTAGCTTAAATGATAATGAATTGAACGAAGTTTTCAACTTTAGTCAATTTTTATAAATGTCTTTCATTATTTCTATTTGAAAGTACAATTTTGGATAGTAGGTTATTGGATTGTAATGTTATATTTGTTTGATTTAGAAGATTGCAATTGAGAGATTTTACTTCTGAGGTGTCCTGTCAGCCAATTTGGCTGAGGCTTAGCCTTAATTTAGTTTTAATTTGCCTATTAAATTTTAATTTCGTAGGAATTGTTATATTTTAGCGTACTTCTGGTCTTATCTAATTCAATTCAGAATAGATAAACTTTTTTTTAAAGAAATCCCTGTATTCTAAGCAGTTAGCATCCTCATAGGTATATGGCACTTAATCAGGATTGAATTAACATCAGTCACTGTTATTACGGAATGCTGTCAAATAGCTAAAAAATCGGTTAGGAATATTGTCCGATCACTTAACTGTCGATCTTCGGGTTTTTATGGTAATTTGACTTTCTTTGCTATTGTTAATATTTGCCAATAACCCGGAGTTTGCTTGACTAAAAGTGCTTACGTAAAGCTGCCGATGTATCTCCTTTTTGGTTGGTGGAATTCTAATATCACATTGACCAACATTTTGTCATTTCTTTGAAAATTTGCAAGTCTTGTTAGTCTTTACTTTCTATTTCACTTTGCTTCGTATTCACCACTAGAATAAACGGAAGGAATCAAAGTGACCCATAAACATAACACAAAACTTTTTTGCTATTTCCAGATGATTCCCTAATGCTGATTTCTCGTATAGGCATTAGCTACATGCTTCTAATGAGGGGACTTTTGTTTACTTATCGCGCGCAAATGTAGGCAAACTCGGTAATTCACAAAGAAAATCCAGTACTGAGAGGAGAATTTATGTTGGAATTGGATTAGTACTTCTCAGTGTTAACTGGCATGGTCACAAATGTAAAATTATCCAATACGCCTCTTAGGGTGACTTAGATTGAGACTAGCCAATGATTCCAATTTAATGAACAGAATACTATATAGAAGACCCCTTGAGGGTGTCTTTGTTATTAAAGTCTCGTTGACTTCCCCTTTGTGGGGAAATATTAGTGCTAGCTAACTTAGGTTAAAGTGCCTATTTCATTAGCAAAAATCGTGATAAATAGGTGTTTTTTTGCACTTTTACTCAATCTACTCTAATTGCATGTGCTTATAGAACGGCAGATGAATATGAAAAAAATTCACGAAGTCGTTGGCTAATTGACTTTGTTATCGCAATAGAAGGGAGGTTAATTGTTAAATTATAAGTAAACGTTGACCAAATGGTGATTATGATGAGTTACGTGGTTATAAAACTGAAGAGCTGCAACGGTAATTTCAAGGGAAGGGTCCCGTTAGGTCACGAAAATTCCACTTCAAAATACAAGCTTCCCAACGCGTTTTGTTAGCTATTATTAGCCCTTTAGTTGACTTCAGGCTTCA